TATATATATATATATATATATATATATATATATATATATATGTGTGTTTTAAACCCTTCCCACACTCTTGCAATATTCTAAGCAATGTTTCTAAACCCAAATCGCTCTAAAAGAGCACAGCATGTCATGATTTCAGCTCTCTGCCTCCGGCTGCACTCTGCCATCTGCCAGCGCTGTTGGCCACGCCCACTTCTCCACTGCAGAGCGGATATATGACACGCTGCAGGAGGAAGCTTCTCCTGCAGTGTGGGCTGCAGACAGGTGCAGCAGGTGCTAAATATTTTTTATTTATTTATTTTAAATAAAAAATCCATGACGATCATGCGGCTCATCCATCAATCAGCCACGTGTGTGTCAAGTCCAATCTTACTTTGAAAAACTGCAATAAAGTGAGTTCACGAAAAACGAACGGTGAAGTAGCGAGGGAGAACTATAAAAACCAAAGGGATGCTTGTTTCAAACAGGAAGTTGGTCCCAGCAGTTCTTCTGATTTTATCCTCCAATGGTGTTCCCATTGAGTTTGTTGAGTCCTATAAATATTTGAGTATCTTGGTCGACTCACAGCTCTCTTTTAAGCTCCATGTGGAAAACCTAGTAAAGAAACAGATCCTGTCTAACCCTGAATGTTAGGAAACACCTTGTAACTGTGACCTTCCTTCCCTCCATTGATTACGGTGACATTATTTACATGAACGCTCCTACAATTATCGTACCCACCACTGCACCCAGTATTCACTGGTTAACTGGACATCATTAACTTCACACAGACTCTCTCACTGGTACATTTTCATCTTTAAATCACTTCCTGGTCTGCTGCCTTCATACATCTCCTCCTACATGTCTCTGCGTGAGTGCAGCTACAGCGTGGGAGTCTGGAGACAGGCCGGAAGTTGGACATGACTGAGGGGTCAAGGTTAGGTTTTTTCAGGAGGGGCTGGACAGCAGCATGTTTAAAAGTTTTTGGCACCACACCTGAGGATAAACTGCTATTCAGAATAGCAAGGATAAAAGGACCCAGGGTAGGAAAAACTTCCTTTAGTAGTCGAGGGGGACCACATCAAAGGGGGAACCAGATGGCTTCATGCTGCACATTACCTGCTCCAGAGAGGACAGAGAGATGGGCTCAAAGTGGTCAAACACAGCCACGCACTGAGATGGGATGGACAGATCATGAGCTGGTGGAGAAATGAGTGCCCGGGTGTTTGCCACTTTTTCTAAAAAGAAATGGAGGAAGTTCTCACACAGCTCAGTTGAGGCTTCCAGAGGTGAAGGCTCACTGAGGTGTAGAACTGAGTTCAGGGTGGAGAAAAGAACTCGGGGGTTGTGGGAGTTGGAGACAATTAAATCAGAAAAGAATTTACATTTGGCAGCTTTAATGGTTTTCTGATAGTGACGCCAACTCTCCCTTAACATTTGAAAAGCCTGTCCTTCCTCCACTTTCGTTCAGCTCTGCGACACTGCCGCCTAACGGCTCGTGTGACATTTAAACATGTGTCAACATCTGGACTGAGTCAGAGACATTTTTGTGTTTTTAAGATCAGTTGGCTGTGGCGGCCATCTTGAATTGAGATGACCACAAATGTATTTAGTTATAGAAGTTCTTCCAATGAAAACTTTCTGTGTTTCAGTCAAATGTTTAGTTGTTCATGAGATGTTTGGGGCTGAGCAGACACGTGGACACACAGAGCAGAAATACATTATCACCCGCCCTCGCCTCCTGCTGGTGGACAATAAAAAGCTGCAGAAAGAAGATCTAACTTTGACAAAATATCATCACATGAATTTGTGCACAGGGCGCTTTGACAAGTTTGACAAACATAACGTTTGAATGAAATGTCAACAGGTGCTGAAGAATGTTTTTAATTTGTTTTAAAATGTTGAAGAGGACGCAGGCAGGAAGTGAACAACAAGGAATAGAAGTCAGAGTCAGGTTTTACATTTAAATACTCGTTTTAATTTAAAGATCATTTTTCATACTGAAAATAACTTTCAGTTGATTGTTTGGGTAAAAATATTGAATCCTTTGCTTCTGTCGAAGTAAAAGTAAAATAATCTGAGAGAACAGAAACCAGAGTTTGGACTCTTTACTTTGGGACACGCTTGGACAATGTCTGGGACACATCAGGGACTTCCTCATAAATATCTTTTCTCATCGTTTATGGCATCTTAAAACACACCTGCCGTGAAACTGGCATGTGTGTGTTTTTATGTTTCTTTGTGTATGTTTTGTATGTTGTTATTGTCTTAATTAATTTATCTTTTTGTCTTATTGTACAGCACTTTGGCTACCCCTGCGGGTTTTAAAATGTGCTGAAGAAATAAAGCTGATTGATTGAAATATGATAAAAACATTTTTCTGCATGTGTTTACATCTGAGAAAACATGTAAAAATGTAGTTTTTATACATTTATTACCCTGAAGGTTCAGAATAAAACAGATGTTTTGTGACTAGACAGCTGTGGCTCTTCCCTGACTGAGATTCAGATCAAATGACAATTTAAAAACCAGAACGACTCACTCATTGGTGGCAGGTCTTTGCTCTCCCTGCGGGTCCGATGATAAACTTCATCTGTTTCTTCCTCCATGATGCTTCACTTCACATTAGATCAAACTCAACCAGCTGCTGAAAAGCAGAAAACATAAATCTGCGATCATTCTTAAAAAATTAAAACCTCAAAGATTCTTTACAGCTGAAGAGTTATTGACTGTATGAAGAAAAAATATCCAACAGATATTAAACAGTCAGTTATTAAAATAAACTATCAAAACCTCTGACGGTTATTTATTAACTTCTTTCAGCCGTCATAGATTTAAACTAACGTTAGCTTCTCAGATAAGAAGATTCAAAGATCATTTATTATCACGACACACCTTCAATCAGATGTTTGTTTTTTATCCACTGCCCAACTCCAACAGGTTTGATTTCATTTGATTTTATAACTTGTGAAAATAAAAACTAATAACTGAGTCGGGGACTTCAGGGTGGGTCTGTCCATAACCGTGGCTGAGGTCACCGAGGAAGTTAAAAACTCTGCAGGAGCAGGACTCTGGGGGTGGATGAGATTCTCCCTGATTTCCTGAAGACTCTGGATGTTGTGGTGCTGTCTTGGTTGACACGTCTTTGCAACATCACTTGGACATCAGGGGACAGCGCCACTGGACAGGCAGACTGGGGCGGTGGTTCCCCTCTTCAAAAAGGGGGACTGGAGGGTGTGCTCCAGTTACAGGGGCATCACTCTCCTCAGCCTCCCTGGTAAGGTCTGTTCAGGGTACTGGAGAAGTGACTCCAGCCGTTGATCGAACCTCAGATCCAGGAGGAACAATGTGGGTTCCATCCTGGCTGTGAAACACTGGACCAGCTCTTTACTCTCACTGGGGTTCTTGAGGGGTCATGGGAGTTTGTCCATCCAGTCTACATGTGTTTTGTGGACTTGAAGAAGACATCGACCGTGTTCTTCAGGGTACACTGTGGGGGTTTCTCCGTGAGTGTGGGACTGGAGACCTGTTGTTATGGGCTGTTCAGTGTTGGGCTGTTTTTTCTTCATCCAAGTGGTGCCAGAGTTTGGTTCACATTGCTGGTATAAGTCGGACCCTTCAGGGTGGGAGTTGGACTCCACCAGCGCTGCCCGTTGTCACTGATTCTGTTCATAACTTTTATGGACAGAACTTCTTGGTGCAGCCAGGGGGTGGAGGGAGACCAGTTCTGTGGTCTCAGGATTCCATCTCTGCTCTTTGCAGATGATGTGGTCCTGTTGGCGTCATCGTGCCGTGATCTTCAGCTCTCACTGGAGCGGTTCACATCCGAGTGTGAAGCAGCTGGGATGAGAACCAGCACCTCCAGACCTGAGTCCATGGTCTTCAGTCAGAAAAGGGTGGATTGATAATTTCTGGTCGAGGGCGAGGTTCTGCCTCAAGTGGAGGAGTTCAAGTGTCTCGAGGTTTTATCAACGAGTGAGGGAAGAATGGAGCGTGAGACTGACAGATGGATTGGTATCTGCAGTATTGTGGACTCTGTACCGGTCCATTGTGGTGAAGAGGGAGCTGAGCTCTAAGGCAAAGCTCTCTGTTTACTGGTTGATCTACGTTCAACTGGGAGGAGACCCCGGAGAAGACCCAGGACACGCTAGAGAGACTATGTC